CGGGACGTGCCTCGAGCGGGCCGTGCTCAGCAGGCGCTACGGGCCTGGCAGACGGTGGGCACCAAAGGCCGCTGGACGTCCTCGGGCTGCACCCGCGTGGGGGGTGACACCCTCCACTCCACCTGCGCCTGCACCCACTTCTCCACCTTCGCCATCCTCGTGGCCATCCACCCCGTCATGGTAAGATCCCGTTTGCACCCTTAAAATACCCATTTTTGGGGTGTTTTCTTCCTTCCCAAACAGCGTGTGGCCACAGGCTGGATGAGACTCGCGTGATGTCATGCGTGTGACGTCACCCACAGGAGAGCTTCGCGCTGACGGTGGTGACCTACGTGGGGATGTCGGTGTCACTGGTCTGCCTCTTCCTCGCCATCGTCACCTTCATCTTGTGCCGCTCGCTCTGGAGCGTCAGTGTCACCCTCCACCTGCAGCTCAGCATCTGCCTCTTTGCTGCCGACCTCCTCTTCCTCGTGGCCGTGCCCCACACCGCCAACTGGGTATGGGCTCCTCGGGGCCTCCCTGAGCATCTTGGGACCTTCAGGGGATCCTCAGGGTCTCTTTGAGCTCCTTGGGGTCTCCACAGGTTCCTCAGGGTCTCCTTCAGCATCTTGAGGGCTCCTCGGCATCTCATTTTGCTCTTCTGGGTCTCCACGAGGTCTCTGGGGCCTCCTCAAGCTCCCCAAGACCTCCTTGAGATCCTTATGGAGCTTTTGTGGAAAAAGACCCAAGGTCATGGCTCTTGGTTGTAGCCTCTACCCTAACGGCTCCAGCAGACCTTTCTGCCAGGGGTCCCATCTCATGCTGGGTGGGTGCAAGCACCTTATTACGGGATAACTGAGGTTGGAAGGTTTGGTCCAACCCCAGCTCAGAGCAGGTCCAATGAGTTGAGGTTCTTCAAGGTTCTTGGTTCCCTTCTTGCTCTGTGTGGGTGTCAGTGCCTGAATTACAGGATAAATGAGGTTGGACAGGATGTTTGGAGGTCTCCAGACCAATGACCACTCAAAGTGGGTCCAACTAGTTGAGGTTCCTCAGAGTTATCCGGTCCCATCTCCCTCTGGGTGAGTGAAAGCACCTGAATTACAGGATAACCACGGCTGAACAGGATGTTTGGAGGTCTCCAGACCAACCCCAACTCAAAGCAGGTCCACCCACTGGGGTTCCTCAAGGCTCTTAGGTTCCTTCTCCCTCTGGGTGGGTGGAGCCAACTGAATTATGGGATAACTCATCTTGGAAGAGACATTTGGATGTCTCCAGTCTGCTCCCGGCCCAAAGCATCTCCACTCCCTTGAGGTTCCTCGAGGCCGTGCTGGGGCATGTGGAACATCTCCGAGTGCCAGAGATGCCACCACCTCCCCCGGCCACGCTGTGGTGATACTCGGGAGCCCAGCATGCCGTTGTTGTCCCCCATCCAGCTGGCGTGTGCCATCACAGCAGGCTTCCTCCACTACCTCTTCCTCGCCTGCTTTGCCTGGATGTTCCTGGAGAGTTTGCACCTCTTCCTCACCATCAGGAACCTGCGTGTCCTCAACTACACCAGCGCCAGTCGCTTCAGGAGAAGATACATCTACCCCGTGGGCTACGGCATGCCGGCCATCATGGTGGCCATCGCCGCCGCCGTCCACCCTCACGGCTACGGCACTGAGCACTAGTGAGCCCCACCAGCACCCAAGGTGGGGTCAACCAAGCGGGGTGGGATCATCAGTGGAGAACATCAGGCGTTTTGCCTAAATCACCCAAAAAAAAGATGCCATGGCCTCTGGGTGCTGGTATTTTCATGCCACCAAAATCAAAGGAGTTTTGGGGTATTCTTCCCTTTTTCTCCCCTTTTTAGCTGCTGGCTGAGCCTGGAGGGAGGCTTCCTCTGGAGTTTCCTCGGCCCCGTCTGCGTCGTCGTCCTGGTGGGTGTCTTGCTGCTGAGAGGAGGCAGAGGAGGGAAAAACTGGGAGAAAAAAGAGCAAATTTAGATCTATCTTTAAGAACAGTATTAAGCAAACGCCCCGCAGGCTGGGTGCACTCATGCACGATGCATGAATGATGGTTTTTTGCACCATTGGCCCCTTTTCTACCTCAAATTTATAATTGTGGCCACGGCTCTTTCCCCACAGACCCCAAATCGAGGAATTTTAGAGATTTGCGTAAAAAGAGCACATTCACATGTACATTTAAGGACAATGTTAAGCAAAAGTCCCACACCCACGCTCAGTGAAGGTCATGCCACACCACTGACCCTCTTCCACCCCAAATTTACACCCCGCAGACCCTGCCTTGCAAAATGATGGGGTTTTGCTTTCTGCCCAGGTTAATTTGTTATTTTTTCTCACCACCCTCTGGACGTTGCGGGACAAACTCTCCTCCCTCAACGCTGATGTCACGGCCCTAAAAAACACCCGGTGGGTTTTTGCATCGGCAGGAAGTGCGTTGGGTTTTGGGGGGGAGGAGGAAGAGCATCTGGGATGGGTTTTGGGTGAAAAAAAGAGCAAAATGAGTGTTCTGTCAGGCTGATGACGTTCAAGGCGCTGGCGCACATCTGTATCTTGAGCTGCACGTGGGGTCTGGGCTTGCTGCAGGCACAGGGGGTCAACATAGTGGTGGCCTTCGTCTTCACCATTGTCAACAGCCTGCAGGGAGCCTTCATCTTCCTCGTGCACTGCGTCCTCAAATGGCACGTACCGTGGGGAGGGGGAACTCAGGCGTCCGGGGGTGTGTGGGAGGGGACAGGGACACTCAGAACATGGCTGTGGGGCTTGCCCACAGGTGACAGGGCAGTACCGGCGCTGGTTTAGGGTGCTGGGGCGACGAGTGCACCCCCAGGAGATGCCCACCACCAAGATACACGTCACCTATGTCACGGTAAGGGCACCCGGACGCCCGGGTTGCTGCGGGGTGCTGGGTGGGCACCCAGACGCCCGGGTCCTCTAGTTGCCACCAAAAGGAGGTGGGAGCCAAGGGGGACACAGGGGAGGCTGCCTGGACCCCTGGGTCTCCCCAGGGTGCTTGGGGGTCTGGCAAGAGACCACCAGAACCTCTGCACCATTTCTGCCCTGTTTTGGTCTCATTTCGTCCCGGCGTGGCCCCTTTTCGCCCCCAGGAAGGGGAGAGGCCACACAGCCACAGCGCCGAGGGCTGCACATGGGAGAAGTGACAGTGGGTGCCCCAGGACTGACCTGTTTCCGGCACATCCGACCCATTTCCAGCAGTTTTCCAGGGCATCCGACCCATTTCCAGTGTATTTCCTGCAGATCTGACCCATTTTCCTGGTTTTCATGCTGATTTGATCCATCTCCAGCATTTTTTTCCTGCAGAACAACCTGTTTTTAGCATTTTCCCCACAGGTCTGACCCGTTTCCAGCATTTTTCCCACAGAACACCACATCTACAGCATTCTTCCCGCATATCTGACCTAATTTTCAGAATTTTCCCCAAGAAACGACCAATTTCCAGCATTTTCCCCTAGAATCAATCCATATCCCACTGCTTCCCTCCAGGAGCAAACCATTTCCTGCATTTTCCTGTGAAACAACCATTTTCCAGCATTTTTCCAGCAGATGCGACCCATTTCCACCATTTTCCCCAAAGAACCACTTAATTTCCAGCATTTTCCTGCAGAACAACCTGTTTTCAGCATTTTTCCTGCAGATTTGACCCATTTCCAGCATTTCCTCCAAGAAATTACCAGTTTCCAGCGTTTTCCCCCAAGACTCTGCCATTTCCAGCGCTTTTTCATGGAACAACCCACCTCCAGCATTTTTCCTGCAGTTTTGACCCATTTCCAGCATTTTTCCTGCAGATTTGACTCGTTTCCAGCATTTTCTTTAAGAAACAAGCAGTTTCCAGCATTTTTCTGTGGAACATCCCACTTCCAGCATTTTTCTTGCAGATTTGACCCATTTCCAGCATTTTCTCCAAGGATCAACTAATTTTCAGCATTTTCCCCCAACACTTGACCCATTTCCAGCATTTTTCCAGCAGTTTTGCCCCATTTTCCTGGCTGCTTCCCTCCACGATGGCCCCATGTCCAGCGTTTTCCTGCGGAATGACCCATTTCTGGCATGTTTTCCGCCAGGATCGCCCCATTCCTGGCCTTTTCCTGCTGCCTTCGCCCCGCGCGGCTCAGCGGGGGTTTTTGGGCTGAAAAAGGCTGATTAAAGGCACGTGGCTCATCCACGAGGAGTCAGGCTGGATGCGGACTCGGAGGGTCCCGGGAACGGGCCCAGATCCACTCGGGGGGTGGCAAAGTGGGGCCTGGGTCCACTCCAAGGCCAGGAGCATGGCCTCCCCCACAGAGATGGGGAGGGTGGGGTCTTGAGCTCTCAAGCCCTGCCTCCCTGCCCCCATAAGCCAATCAGTTTCCTGCCAGCTCTTGATTGACAGGGGCTGGCAGCCAATGGTGCTGACCCCCTGTCTTCCTGCCCCACCAAGTGCCAGAGAGGCGCCTGATTGGTACGAGGTGAGAGCTGGGTGGTACCAGGAGTTAGGAGTGGCCTATCGTGCAGTGGGGCGGGCTGAACAGCGGTGGTACCAGCCAATGGGCAGCGGTGGTCCTGGGAGGCGGTGCTAAGGGGAAAACCCACCCCCCAGAGCATAGAGAAGGCGGTGGTTGGCTGTGCGCTGAGATGGGCAGCGCGGCTCCGCCAATGGAGCCTCGAGGGAGGCTGAGGTGGCTCCTGAGGAGAGGTGAGGGGTGATGGCGGCTCTGGGGGACTCTGGGCATTCCCTCCCCACCTCCAGTGCCCTCCCAGTACCCCCCAGTGCTGGGACTGGGCTGTCTCCCCGCCCCAGTGCCCTGTCAGTGTTTGCCCAGTACCCCCAGTGCTCCCAGTAGCCTCCCAGTGCCCTCCAAGTGCCTCCCAGCCCTGTGCTTCCAGTGTTCCCCGTACCCTCCTCAGCCCCAGCGCTCCCAGTGCCTTCCTAGTAAACCCCAGGCCGTGTTTCCAGTGCCCTCCCAGTAACTCCCAGTGCATCTCCCTGCTGGAAATGGGTATTTTGGTTAAATTAAGGAATTTTTATTGAGGGCAGAAGCCTCTCTCTGTGCCAGCTCCGCCACCGGTCGATAGTTTTGTTGTTGTTGAAAACAAGCCAAAACCACCCTAAAACCAGTTTCGTTTTCTGCCACGGGTCCTTTTTTTTATTGATTTTACAGCAAATTTCTCAAGCCCAGCTCAAATTTCCTGATTTTCACGGCGGGGGAGGGAGCTCCCACAGTTAATTTTCAACCCAGAGAGGGAATTTCATTACCCGTAACGAATCATTGCGTTTCTGCTGATCGATAATGCATAAATTCCCCCAAAACATTGATTTTTAGTTTATAACCCCTTAAAAAAACGAGCGTTAACATCACCCCACCGGTTTTAACGGGATTCCTTCGATTCCAGAAATTTTCAGCCACCGGGATGAGTCTGACGGGGTCATTTTATTTATTTGGGCAAGAAAAAGACCGAACAGCACATGCTGCGTTTCTTAGGAACAAAAAAAAATAAGTTTTATTGGGTGATATTGTGCTGAATTAAGAGTTGTACAAGTCAGCAGAATTGGGATTTTGGGGGTTTTTTGGCTGTGAGGCCACAGCTGGGCACAGATGGGGGTTGGCATCTGGGGGAGGGAAGGATAAATATGGAAAAAAGTATTTGGAAAGTGGAAAAAAACAAGAGGATTTTACTGAAATTGTCTTTTCTAAGAGTTAAGCAGAAACCACGACGTGGCGGAAAAGGAGAAATTCAGCGACGCTGAGAAACGTGTTTTGCACTGGTGAGTGGGGTTTTAACCATTTTACAGTAGTTATTTTAACTGAAAATCCCTTTTTTTTCATGGTTTTTGGGGCAGGCTTGCAAGGTTGGAGCTCACAGGGATTTTACTGATTTTTTTTATGGGATTTGCACGTCATTAATAGGCAAAAAATGGGAGCGTGAAGCCTCCGGAAACCCCCGGAGCTGCGTGAGTTCATCCAGCTCCCGAGCAAAAAGTTAATTGTCTGGAAACGGGCAAAAATGCTGAAGTCAGCAATTCCAGGACTTTTCGCAAATCCAGTGGTTGGAGTGGGAGCATCTGTCGTCGTTCCAGATGCCATCGGGCCCGATGCTGCCGCAGTCCTTCTGGTCCTTGTCTTTGTTCTCCTTCCATGTGTTCCAGTAGCTGGAGAAAGAAGGAGGAAAAAGAAGGAGGAAAAGGAAAAGAGAAAATAATAAAGAAATAAAAACGAGCCCCACGGAGCGGCGCTCTCTTAGGAAGAGGTAAAATTTGTATTTCAAGGGAAGGAAACCACTAAAAATCTCTTTTTTTTTTACCACCAGCAAGAAAACGCTCCGATAATACCATTTTTCCAACGTAAACCCTTTGACTTACATAAAATCACCAAAAACGGTAGTTTTAGTGGGTCAACTTCATCTTTTTCCATTTATTTTCTGATTATTTTCCATTTTTGGGGAATCCCTGAAGGGAATTTTTACCTAATACTTGTGTGTTCACCATTAGTCCAGACCCAGGTGCCTTCCTCCAGCTGATCCGTCACTCCCAGCCAGTACGTGCTGCTGCTGTTAATATTGTCCTTCAGGAACTTCTAGAAAAGCAGAATTGGTTAAAACAGCCCCAAAACAATCATTCCGATGGACTATGGAGCACGTCAAGGCTTTTGGCAATTTTGGTGAGGTCATTGTGGCGATATCTGAGCAGTGTTTTTTGGTAAAGAGTGAACAATTTGGGTGTATTAAAGTAAAGTGCATACACAACGTTCCGGAAAAGAGATGTTGACCTTTTTTGCTCCATTTTTAGCACTTTTTCCTAAAAACAGGAAGTCATAGTCGACTTGGCCATCAGCGCTTCTCTCTACCTCCAAATAACTCCGAGCCCCATGGCCAATCTTGGCTAATTTGAGCCCAAAGAAAGAGGTTTTAGAGTTTTTGTGTTTGCCAGAGTAGGAAACCTCCAAAAAATGGGTGTTTTGGGCACTGTGTAAGCCAAGAAACTGGTTATTTTTCACTCGCAAGCATCCGACTGACCTGTTCCAGCTCCGAGTTGATGATGACCAGGTGAGCGCCTTGGTCGGCGCAGATTTCCTTCGCGTCTGACCAGCTCATCATCTCCGTCGAGAAGGAGTAGCAGCTTTTCTCAAAGATCTTCCAGCCGGCCGAGCACTTCTTGCTGTCCAGGACGGATCTGCAGATCAGCGCTGGAAGCACGAGAAATCCCCCAAACCCAGGCAAAAAATGTTTTTCTCTGCTGGGGGAACCTCCACAAGTTCCCTGGTGGGGTGACATCTCAAAATTGGAGTCAATCACCCAAATTTTCCATCCTTAAGACCATCGTGGTCTTTCCGGGCTAAAATCAGGAGGTTTCTCTCCTGGTGCACAACAATGAGAAACCATCAAGATGGAGACGGCGGCTTTACCTGCGATGTCCTGCAATTCCTCGTAGTATTTGTGCATCCCGCTCTGCATCCGCGTCTGTTCCCGTTCCGTCTCCGACAGCCTCTGCCACACTGGGGAGCGCAGGAGGGTGAGCGACCGCTGCCGGCCCCGGCCCCGCAACTTTTTCCTACTTTCCCCTGATTCAGGTTGACCAAATCTTGAACACTTTTCCCTCAGGATTTATTACTTTTCCATATGTAGAAATCTCAATCAGGGCTGAAAAAGCTCTTATGCCGCCAGCTTTGCTGCCTGGTTTTTTTCGCTTTGGGTGACATTTTGCTGCAATATCACCCATAATATAATTTAATTAATCACTAATTTGGCAGCAGTTAAGGATTTGGCTCATTATATTTGACTTTGGCAGAATTTTCTGTAGGATTTACATCCTTCCCTTCCCATAACCCTTAACGGAGATAACGGGGTGGATTTTCCCCCCCGTAAGATCCTGATCATGATAAATCCCATGATATCCCAAGAGCTGATTTGCTCCTATTTGCACCCTTTCGGGGCTAATTCCTTTGGGATTGGGGCATGAGCTCAGTTGGTGTCTGATCTACACCGTTATCCTGGTGTAATTCCCGATGGAAATCAGAAACAAGCCAAAGTCAGCGTTGCTTCACTAAGACGGAGCAGAACCAGGATCCGCTCAAAAAGGCAATTTGTTTTTTTTTTTCCCTCAATTTACCCCAAAAGGCAAAACTGGGGCCAGAAAAAAGCCAAACACCAAAAAAATCAGTGTCTCCCAACAGCCGTTAAACGTCACCGTGGGGACGTGAGTCCAAGGACCTACCGTTGGCTTGATTCTCTGAGTAGTTTGACCTCAAGAGCTTTAACTCCGCCATGATTTCCATCTCTGAAAAGAAAATGAAAGAAAAAAACATGGCTAGATCATACCGAGGAATCGCGAGCGGCATCTAAATTTGCCCGATTTATGGCTTTTTTTGGGCTGAGTGGGGGATTCCAGAGCAGATTCTAAATTTGCCCAATTAATGGCATTTTTGGGCTGAATGGGGAATCCCAGAGTGGATTTACTCTGGATTTACACGCTGTAGCAAACATGGAGTGCTGCTGGTGCAAGCAGACGGAGGCAGCACCCAGATGTAGCGCACTGGGGGCAATTTGGTAATAAAATCCTAAAATTGACATACTGAGGTGAAATTAAAACCAAATCATGACAACAGATGGGCTTTAGCTGCTGTTTCCACGTGGATGGAGATTTAAAGCATCGCAGGCACGAGCCACGTGTTATTTTTAACAGTGAAAATGCTTTTTTTTGAAGTGTTTTAACCAAACCAGCTGCTTCCTGGCCCGGTGGGGATCCTTCCGGGGACACTTACGCTTCATCACGGCCAGCGCGAAGAGCAGCACCCACGCAACGAAGCTCAGCGCTACCAGGATGTAGAGGACGGCCACTGATGTCACTCTGCGGCTTTGTCCCCTGCCGCCTCTGGGCTCTGGGTCACCTGCGGAGAGCAGCGTGGGAGAAATCGGGGAGAAATCCCCACTTCCTGGGTCTGGATCCGGCTGAGGCCTCCAGTGGGGGGTAGCGGTGGCTGTCAAGAGCGACTCACACTTTTGGGAAGGATTTGGAGATGCCGGTTTCCCCGCCAGGATGTAAACCCCTGTTGGGAGGAAGAAAAAAGTCACTGGGTGATGTTTTTTGGGGCATTTTAGGGACAAATCCTGCCCCATGGAGGTCCTCGACCGCACAGGCGACGCGAGGAGAGGAGGTAGGTACTACCTGTGCCTCCTTTGCTCCTCTGGCTCTGCAGATCTTCATCGGTCACCGGCAGCTTGTGGCCACGATCCAACTCTGACAGGGACACATCGTCGTAATCGTCCTCAAAGCTGTCCGGGGACGCTACGCAAGAGATAAAATGGGTGAAAATTGGGATTTTAGGCTAACTGGGAATCCTTTCCAGTAACGATCAGCTGGGTTCTTTGGCAAGCGTAAAAAAAAAAAAGGCAATTCCCCTTTCCCCTTTGGTAAATCCGCAGCACCTCCAGCAAGATTTTTACACCCTTTTCTCAATATATATTCTTTTTACCATTTTTAAATTTAACATTGCTCCGCTCTGCCAGAGCAGACTTCTCCCCTCGGCTGCAAATCCAAGCAATTCTGCTGAAGTTTGAAGTTCTCCACGGCCCGAGGGGATGAATTTGGGCCTGCAAAGATGCAAACACTGGCTCTGAGAGCAAGGATGGAGTGACAAATTCCCACTCAATCCCCCCAGTGTGGACTTTCAGGATATTTTGGGGGCTATTTGATCTCGTTTGATGGAAGGAAACAAATCTGGAGAGAAATGCCACGTATAGCGAGACACGTTCGGCCAACCGAGCTGAAAATAAAGCCCAGTTTGGCTTCGGGGAGGCACCTCGGGGAGTTCTGCTTTCCATCCGTGCTACAAAAAAGCCTGAAAAGATGAAAAAATTATGACTTACCCGGTCTGAAGTCACCCACGGGTGTCATTTTCCCAGCGACAGAATAAATTCCTGCCAAAAAAAACGGAAAAAAGCGTTAAGCATAATGGGAGGATCCTCAAAACCACTGTTAGCACTTCTTCTAACCCCGTTGTCGCCGGCAAGTAGTTGCCGGTGCTTTTTTAAGGCCCGGCATGGAGTTTACGCGTGAAATTGGGGCCAGTCCTGGAGATTTAGGGGTTCCTGAGTGAAGAGCAGGACCCGCACAACTCTGAGCACGCCAAACACGTTTCACCCTGTTCCGTACAACAACGGTGTCCCGCCGGCATATTCGGACAGCGCCGCGCTTTGCCGAGACACCCACTGACCCCGAAAACACACGCCAAGGACACACCAAGGACACGGAGAAGGGGTGTCTCCCCAGTTTTACCTGCTTGTCTCACCAGTCGCTTAGTGGGCGCTGGCGGGGGACCCAACCAGTTGCCGTAGGTCTCCTGCCGGGCCATGCTTTGCCGGGAAGAGTAGCTGCGCAGGCGCCCGGCAGGGAGCTAAACCCCTTGGCACGCGCCCGGGCACACCCCTCGCCGCCTCCGGCGCCCCATTTTGGCCGGCGGTTCGGCCCCGAGGTTTCGGTTCCTTCTGCACGCCGGGGCAGCGGTGACATGCAAATGGGCGGCGAAATGAGGGCGAGACTGCCGCTCTACTCCGCAAAAATACGCCTTTTCGGAGGACCGTGGAATTCGGTGAATTTGGGGACAACGGGTTGTGTTTTGTGGGGAGAAACGGTGATGCCGCAAGAGTTCTGCTGCCAGCGGGAATTTGAAGGCTGCTCCCGCATAAGTTTGGGGTTTTTTTTAGGAATTACAAATAAAACCGCCACGGTGGCACCTATGGGTGTTAAAACACCGTGCCGGTGAAATCCCAAATCTCCCAGCGGAGCCGCTCTTCATGCCGGGAGGGGAATCCGGCAGCGCAGCCTTTCGGCAAAACAGGCATCGCGCTTCAGCACCCATGAGTTGGAGATTTGCATACGCGCCCCGAAAACACGCTCGCGCCTCGTCCTCGCCGGTCTCTCTTCCCTTTTTTTAGGGTTTTTTTACCTAAACCCTGGGAAAAAAGGTGTGCACCGATACTCTTCAGCACCGCATCGGCTCGATTTATGTAAATTTTGGTTCAATTCACAATCAAAACGCTTTATTTATTATTTCCCCCCCCCCGATTAACCAGTGAGCAATACGTCAAGCCTTGGCCCAACAGGTAAACGGCTTGCAAAATGTTAACAAACACCCCAAAACTCTCTAATTCAGCCCAAAAAGAGTGACGCACACACCCCCTCAAACTGTTTAACCCTTCCGCCGCTGCGCTGTGCCCACCTCAGGCAGCTCATCCTGCTTTTGGGAAGTGGGGAATGCATTTTTGGACACAGTTCCCCCAGAGCCCTGCGTTTTCACCTTGCGCTTGGTTTTTGTTGGGTTTTTACTGTTTTTTGCCCCATTTTTAAGCCCCGGCGAGGCAAGAGGATAGTCCGGGGTGGTGGAACCACTAACAGCTACGCTCACAGATCCAGGCCTCGTCGCTGGAACAGGTAACGTCGTTCCAGCCGCCGCTGGAATAGATGGAGCCACAGTCCTCGCCATGGTGGCCCACGTTGTTGGGTTCGCCGCTGTTCCAGAACCTGCAGGGTTGGGGGGGAGCACACCAGTTTGGGTGAAAAGCTTTCCGTTTAGGAACTTGTTGGGTTTTGGGTTGTTTTTAAGTAGGGGAGAGTCAGGCAGAGAGAACAGCAGCCCCACAGCATCTCCCAGGGTGGTCAACAGCTCCCCAAAAAGCCTTCTCCCCCCGTTTAACACAGCAGTGCAGTTTCAGTGATTTTTTCCTGTTTTCCGTCTTTTTAACATGGGAAAATTGTTCCGCTTTGATGGCGAGGCTTTTCCCAAAATCCCAATAATGAGGAGATCCATTAGAAATAACCCCTTTGACTTGGGGTGCGGTGTCTCAGTCGGGAACCAACCGAGCTCAGGGGGAACCAAGTGGATGCTGCAGCGCCTTCTGTGTTCCCACCTGGATTTTCAGCCCCAAAACCAAAGCGAATTTGGGGGGAAAAAGCCCAAATATTGCCTGCAGCGGGATGGCTCCTCTTATTCTTTCCCTCTACCCGGCATTTTCAGGCGCCGCAAAACCTATTTCTGTGCTTTTTAAGCACCAAACCAGAGCAGACGGGTGCACTAATGAGGGTGCGGCACCTTTTTTTGAGCAAAATGGGGCCGAGGGAGAACAGAGCTGATTTTTTGGGGCAATTTACCCTCCGATGAGGCTAAAAACGTACGAGAGAGAGAGGGAGCGGCCGTCCACCCACTGCCAGTTGCCTTCATTGTGCATGTCGGTCAGACCCAGCCAGAATATCCGCGTCTCCATGACGTGATTTGCCAAAAATTTCTGCAAACGGGAAAAAAAAAAAAAAGAAGCGTCAAGAGGGGAAGCAGGAGGCGAGAGCAAAGAGGTTGAGCGGTGCCAAGGCTGTCGGTGTCACGGAGGAGCCCGTCCCTTGAAGGGGACAACAGTGACATGCCACAAGCATAACAAAAAATGCAGAGTTTATCATTGGAAATGGAAAAAAAGAAAAAAGTGCTGAAATTTCTAATATCTGGAGGGAGAAGCTTTAAAAAGCTTTAAAAGCTGGGCCAGTGAAAGCAGCCTCCTGAATGGGAGGCAGGGATTGTCTCAATCGGGGTAGAAATGCCAATTTTTGTGGAGTTTGGGTTGTATTTTCAATAATTCTGTCATTTCTAAACTTTAATAATGATTTCTAAACAATTTCTATCATTCCTATATGATTGCAAGGAGGGATTACCATGGAGCCATGGCGCATCCGCCTCAAATTCCGGTGAGCACCTCTCGTACCCTGGGAGCCCCTTGGGGTCACACAGACCCCAGGGAAGGTGGCCACTCCCCTGGGCTTTTCCCCCAAAAAAACTTAAATCACACTGACTGTTTTGGGGACGGATTCATGCAATTTGACCAAATCACTTCAAGAACTAAGTGGGAACCTCAACCGGTTGCATTTTCCCACCTCTGCAGGCAGTCTTGAGTCGCCTGTGCTCAACCTCCAGCTTTCTGTTTGTGGAACTGGAGTCTAATATTCCTCTAAACTCATGAAATTTGGGGTTTTTCAGTTTTTACGGGATTTCTCAGCTTACGTTTTCCTGCTCGGTGTTGACAATGGCCAGATGGGCATTGAAGTTGGCGCAGGAGTCGTTAGCAGCCTGCCAGGGTTTGGTGGTGGAGGAGAAGAAGTAACAGGATTTGGCAAACTGCTCCCAACCGGCAGGACACCTCGTGCAGAAAATTTCTGAGGAAAAATAGGGAGGAAAAAAAAAAGGAGGAGAAGACGTGGGTGAGCGCAGGGGGATGCCCGCGGGCTCAGCCCAACCGCTACCGCTCACCTGAGAGGTTGCGCATCTCCTCCAACGCCGCGTCAAGGAGCGCCGACGCGCGGCTCTGCTCCTGCTTCACCTCCGCCAACTGCCGCAGCACCGGCTCCAGCGCATCCCTTTCCTCTGCCGAGGAGAGAATAAAACGTAATTCAGCTGCCACAAAGACCTAAAAAAGACCCGGTTTTGTCTCCCTTCCTCTTCTCCTTTCCGTCCTAATTTACACTGGGGCTTTCGCTGTGTGTTTTTCTGGTGCGAGTTACCGTTCTCTAAACTTCAGGCAGTAAAACCTCAAAGCCCTTTCAATGAATGAGCTTTTTTATTGTGTCTGTCAACAAGCTGAGAAAGGCTTTTTTCCACTAATATTATATTTAATGATATCTCAAACTCGTTAAGATTGGCTTCGTGCGCTCCCAGTGTGCATTTTTGGAGTCTTTGGAGTATCTACCAATACTGTGCATTTTTGGAATCCAGGAAAAGGACCGAATTTAACAAATTTCCATCAAAATCAGGCTTTCACCCAGGACGCGGAGGCGATCCGACAGCTCCTTCCCACATTCCGCTTTGCACCGTGTCATCTTCCACCGCATATTGTCCACTTCTTGTGACACTGGAAGGAGGAAAAACTCTGCTTTTGACCCCATCTCACCTCTGCCTGCACCTGGTATTCGAGATTCTGCCCATATTTCCCCAAAACCACCTCTTCCTTGGCATACCGTTCAGAAGTCGGCCGTGAATTGCCTTGAGCTCACCAGAGAGATGTTTATCTAAAAGGAGAATAAGAGGAGAAAGTTAAAACAAGCCCCGACCATCTCTGTCCTGATGGAAAGCGGCTTCAGTTCAGTTTTTTTTGCTGGAAAAAACACCCCGGGAAGCACCGGGGGGGAAATCCGTGCATGTATCGAGGATGCAGCGGGTGTCAGGGAGCCGTTTTGGGGCAAGATGTCGTACCAAGGGTGTGCTGGACCTCCGAGAGGTTGTACCAGGCCGTCGTGTGGCTGTTCTCGCTCCACATCCTGGCTTGTTCCAACGCCTCCCACGCTGCGGATACTGGGGGAGAGGAAGAGAGCACTCGCCTTCGCTCCAGATCCGGCTCCAGAGAGCACGTGGGCTGCAAAAGGACCTTCAATCCTAACTTAGAGCTACATTTTGCTCCATCTGCTGGTATTTTGCCCCAATTGTTCACACCCCGCGTTTGGCAACTGGAACAAGGGGTGCACGGCGGACTCACCTCTCTGGAGGTTCACGATGGTGAGAGCCATGAAGAGCACGAAGGTGAAGGCAAGAAGCACGTACAGCAGCGTGACGGCTCTCTCCGGAGATGAGGCTAAGATGGACAGCACTGCCAGGGGTGAAATGGGGTGAGGCGGCCCCAAATAACTCCCCCACAACAGATATTGTCTTAAAGAAGAGCACAAAGAGGAGAGATCCCCCCAAAACAACCTCTTAAGTGGCTCCACCACCCTGTTCTCCACGCTCAAACCTCTTTTTTCTAAATTGTGACCCAACAGAGGAACCAGGCATCAAAATTTGGGTATAACTTCGGAGAAAGACGAGTTTAAAGAGCTGAAACCCTCCAGTTTCATGTCTCTGGGTCCCCAAAGCTGCCCCCTCACCCCGATACCTCCTTTAGGCACTTTTCTCCGCTCTTGCTTCTCCAACTCCATTTCCTCGTCGAAATCCCATTTCTTGTAGGTGCCAATGGCACCTTCGCCTTGTGACATCTCTGATCCTTTTTCTTTTGATACCGCCCCAATTTATGCAGTGGGGAAGACGCGTCATCTCACCCTGGGGGGAAGGAAACACTCATGTTTCATAATTCTAATTTCCTAGAAAAAAAAAAAAAGAAATTTGCACACTCAGGAGTTTTGGAGCAGGCAACGTGCTTGGGCTTCCCCTTGCCACGATTTTTAGAATTGGTTCAAAAATACACTCTGCTTTCCTCAAATGAGGCTGATACCTGCCCGAGGAGGCAGTTTTTGGAGATTTCATGCCGAAACGGCAACTGGTGTTCTCCGAGGTGAGCACCTAAATTTAGCTCTTTTTTTTTTTTGTTTGGTTTGGTGGGAATTCTTTAGCATTTTGTTCAGCGCTTTTGTGATAATTTCTTGCATTTTTACGATACGAAACTTCACGTTGTGAAAATCCTCATCTTTTTGGGGGTGCCGTTTCCTTCATTCCTTCTCCGGAAGATTCTTTTTGTTACCCAAATGCCCTCAGGGCTTCGAGCCAGGCATCCCCTGGGCTGGCTATCGTGGAAAACGAAAGTTAGAACTTATTCATTACTTCACTGTTGACCGATTTCAGCTGAATTTCACAGAGGCATCCTGGGAAGAGCAAACACAGCCAAAAGTTGAACGTCCCTCACTCCAGTTCCCCTGCTTTTGGGGCAAGCAGCTTCCTCCTTTTGTCCGATTTCCCCTTTTTTGATCCTGAATTTAGGGGAAGTTGAGGCCAAACTTTTCCCTGACGTGGCCACTCATGCCCTTAGGGCTTCAGCACTTTCCAAGAGAAAATGGAGTCGGTTTTGGGTCAAAACACCATGAATTCGGCCCATGCGGTCTTGTGATGGTTCCCCTTTCTACTGACAGCATCTGGTTTGTCCTGGTGGTGTGTGAGAGATTTGAAAAAACCAAGGATGGTGATTTTAAGCTGAAAGAAATGAAAACTGAGATAGAAGTCATGAGAGGAGCAAAAACTCCATCTCCCACCCCTAAACTATGTCCTTATCTCTTTAACCTTTTGTAGGGTTTTTTTACCCTTTTTTTTTTTTTGACCAAAACTGCTATTATGGACTTCCGCAGGGCAGACTTTGGCCTGTTCAGGTCACTGGTTGAGACAGTCCCTTGGGAGACAGTCCTGAAGGACAAAGGGGTCCAGGAAGGCTGGGCAGCCTTCAAAAAGGAGATCTTAAAGGCGCAGGAGTAGACGGTCCCCA